CTTTATTGATCCTCTAGCATGAGTTGGATACTAGGACTGAGCCTACCATGAATATCAAATGACCGCTTCTCTCCTCTCGTAGAACTAAAAATCTTGAGACAGAAATGGGTGGAGCAGTAGACTCGGGTAAATAACCATAAATCATGTTTGCCACTGGATGCAGGGCATATGAATCATTGTAAATACAGCCACAGAGTCGAAGGAACCACAAGGAACCAGATAGGGAGGGTCTAGAGAAAGGGAGGTTGAGGGTGACACCCAGGGTCCTGGCCACCAGTCACTATGGTAAGCACGTGAGGAATGAGCACACTTGCTGTGGAGAGGTGGGAACGCAACAGAGAAATCTTTTTTGTCGTTGTGCTGCGGTTGGTATCTATATTATCACAGGTATTTGAGGACCTCATGAAATATGCAAACGGTCATGACTGTTTGAAGCTTAGGAGAGAAAACTGTGAGAGGTCTGCACATGAGAAATGGCTGCGGCCTTATACCTGGTATCAAGGAAGAAGAAAAGAATGAAAGGGAAACTCTAAGATACGCCATTGTATGGGAAGGCAGAGGATCAGAGATAAGAAAGAACCACCAGGGATGGGTCAGCAGGGAAAGGTGTTGCTGCCAAGCCTGACAACCCGAGTCCGAGCCCCGCTTGCCTCTGACCACCACGTGTTGGCCCTCTGACTTCCACAAGCACATCGTGACACAAGTGCCCCCCACACTCTAAATAAATGAATGTAAAATAATTTTGTTTTAAAAAAGAAAGAATAGCCAGAGGGATGAGTTTGCTATTCCTGCCTCCCAAGTCTGTCCGTTATTGTGTTCTTTTACTTCCAAAGTACTCCCTAGACTTTTCTAATTAGATACTGTCCTGATATCTGAAATTGAACAGCTGTTCACAAGTTCTTCCCATTTTCCTATTTGTCATTGATGTCATGAGAAGAAAATTCTTCTCACAGATAAAGCTGAAGGCTCTGATTCTTCCCCAGCACCTATGCTCTGAGTTACCCCAAGTTCAATGTCTCACTCAGTGACTCAATCTTTAAGAATAAGCTCCCACACCTGCTTGAGAAGTCACCTCTAATCCCATGGTCTCAAGTGTGTTAGAGACCGTCTTTACTGCTCACATCACACCCTGCTCAGAGTTCTAACACTGACATTATAGTATATTGTTTTTATCTTTATCTGTTTTTGTTTCTTTGATCACAAGAAGCAACAAAATGTTGAATAGGTGAGTGGAACTAAAATACAGATTCCTTCTTACATTACCTGGAGGTATTTCATATTTTGTTCTGTGTCTTTGTACCATCTACTTATTTACTTATTTATTTTTGCAGTGCTAGTGTTACAGGGTGAATGTGAAATTCATAAGAGTCTTCCATAGACTCTTATGTTTGAACACTTGGCACCCAGGTGACCACACCATTTGGGGAAGTTGTAGATCTATTGCGAAGAGGTCTAGCTAAAGGAAGTGGGCCTTGAGGGTGGGCCTGAGTGTTTTATAACCCAGCCCCACTTCCTGTTTGGTCTCCCCTCTTCCTTACTGGGGACTCAATGTGACCAGATACCTCCGGCTCTCAGCAGCATGCCTTCTCTGCCATGATGGGTTGTATCCCTTCCAGTTCTGAGCCAAAAGAAATTCCCTTCCTCTAAGTTTCTTCCTGTCTGGTGTTTGGTCACAGAATTGAGAAAAACCAGGCAGGGCCTTGCAGATGCTAGACAAGTGCTCTACCATTCAGTTACATCATCACCTGGTAACTTTACCAACCTAAGTTTGTGAGTGAGCCTCCTGACCACAATAAATAACCTTATATCTTATAACAATCATGTATTTCTACGATTTTTTTTTCTTTAAAAAAAAAAAAAGATTTTATTTTTAATTAAACGTATACGTGGCAGTGCCTGTGGATGCCCGTAGAGGGCACTGGATTCTCTGGGCTTGGAGTTATTGGTGGCTGTGAGTCACCAGAGGAGGGTGCTGGGAACCAAACTCAGCCACCTCTTCAGACCCTCTGATTTTTTTTTTTAATGAGTCTTTTTATTAGGACAGCAGCCAGATTTAGCTTTTGCCTCCGAGAGATTAATTCTAATAATGTAGTTAGTAGGATTTTCACTGGAATTAAATGGCCAACTACCTATTAAACGTTTAGCCAAGAAATGTCAGTATACAGAAAGGTCTCTACTGCTAAGGGTGGTAAGGACAAGGAGGCAGGGAAAGTGGGAAAGAGATGCATTCATTTTTAACAGTCTTTATAAAAACTTTATTTTGGCTGATCTTAGGAGGTGAGTTGATTCTAATGAGCTAATCATTGTAAGACTATTTTCACCTGTATGTAAGAAGGACCTCGTTATGAAAACACACCGAGGTGGGTATTTGGAGTATGTTTAGCTGTGAAGGCTCTTTGTACAAAGCAGCATCTTAAAAAGGCTGTGCTTACCATGACATTCAACTAATAACCCTGCAAGTTTTCTTCATCCTATTAACATTTCAAGTTATCTCAAAGAAATCTTACTCCATTGGAAATGGCTGCATTCAAGGGGCTGGAGAGATGGCTCAATGGTTAAGAGTGTTGGCTGCTCTTTCAGAGGACCCAGGTTCAGCTCCCAGCACTCACATGGCAGCTAACAACTGCCCATAACTCTAGTTCCAGAGGATCTGACCCCCTCTTCTGGCCTCTGCAGGCATTGCACCCATGTGGTATGCTTCTATGCATGCAGGCAAAATACTCATATGCATAAAATGCAAATAAAATTTTAAAAAAAGGAAATGGCCACATTCGGTCTTACGCACAGAGACTTATGAAATAAATTTAATCTCATTACAACACAAAGAAGTCGAGAGCTAGAGAACTTTCTATGAATTATCTGATGCTCCAAACGTCCCTTCAACTTACTGAGCGCTATGCTTTAGGATTTTCATAGTGGAAGTGATTCAAGAGGAACATCCTACGGTACTGGATGGTGCACACCCGGACTCTGTGAACTCTATGCCTCAGGACAGATCCTGTAACCGAAATAGTGGTCAAGAAGACTGTGACAGTCCCCAGGGGCAGCTGACTAATCCAACCGAAATAAAATTTGTGGTAGCTATTTCCCACTCTGGAAGCTACAATTATTTTCATTATAAAACAGCCCCTGCAGTCTTGATAATGAAGCACAAATACGCGTCTACAGGGCTCAATGGCAAGAACACTCATTTTAGGCAGGGCTGACAGAAAGCTTCCTGGGATGGTTTGTAAACACATTTTAGTAAAGCCTACTCTCTTTAATTAGGAGTTTTCCCCGTTATGAGGATGGGAATTATCACCAGCATGTGCTCACACACTCATCTAGCTCAAGAAAAAGGAGTAGAAACTTGAAGGCATTCTTTCCTCCTGATTCAACTGATCGAAGCCTAGGGAGTTCATTCTGCTGCTGCAGGAACAGTACGAAACACCAGGAGCAGCAGTGTGGTGAGCCAAGTCCACAGCCTTCCTGGAAGCTTAGCCCCCAGCTATTTATCAACAGCCACTTTAAAAAGAGTAAGTCAGGGGCTGGAGAGCTGGCTCAGTGGTTAAGAGCGCTGGCTGTTCTTGTAGAAGACCCATGTTTGAATCCCAGCATCCATATGCCAGTTAACAACCATCCTAACTCCATTCCAGGGGCTCCAACGCCCTCTTCTGTCTTCCATGAGCATTGCATGACACCGGTGCACTTACACACATGCAGACAATAATAACTCATACAAATAAATGAATAAAAACAAAAACAAAGAGTAAGTCAGCCAGTGACAACTCTGAATGTGCTTCTCAGCTTCAAGAGAGAACAGGACTCATAAATAAGAGATGGCAAGGGCGTTGAACTGTGAAAACCGGCCAGGTTGGAACTGGGGAACAAAAGGTAGCTTCTGTGAGAGAAGAGGGGATCACTGCTGTCCTCAAAAGCAACTGGGCTAGTTTAGCCAACTTTAACGGCAAGTTAAGCTTTCCAGCTTCCAGTCAGCCCTCTGTGCTTGCCTCTTCCTCCGCTTCAGCACCCATAGCTGACCTTGCTTAGGGTTTTCCTACACTGTGCTGACTCAGTCTGCTCTCTGCAAGCCTTGAGTTTAGCAGGCCTGGTAGCACACAACGGTAAGCCCAGAACTGGGAAGGCTGAAGCAGGATCACAAGTCTGAGGCCAGCCTGGGCTACACAGGAAGTTTGAAGCCAGTGTGAGTCCCTTTAAAAAAAAAAAAAAAAAAAAAAAACCCTCGGGTTTACATTTACCCTTGCAATGATGTTCTTATAATTTTAATTATCATTTATTGAATCCTTAACTTCTAGCCACTGCAAAATGGCTCATAAAGATTTTTCTGGAGACATGGCTCAGTCCAGAGGACCTGAGGTCAGTTCCCAGCATCCATCCATCACAGGGGCCTGTAACTCCACTTGCAGGGTATCTGATGGCCTCTTCTGGCCTCCACAGGTACTGCACAGACAGCATACACTCACGGGGACACATAATTTATTTTTTAAGGATTTTTCTGATAGAAATGGCACAATAACTTCAAGTATTGAAAGTGTTAACCCCATTTGGCAGATCTGGAAACAAAGGCAGAGGCTTGCACAGGCTCCAGCCAGTTGCTCTTGGAGAGGATCTGGGCTCTATTAGAGTAGACACATTCCTCTTACAGAGACACCACCCGAAGTCCCCGTGGACACAAACCCCACGCCTGTCACCTGTCAGTCACCTGTCAGCTGTCACCTGCGCTCGGTTCCCCTGCACCCACAGTAGCTCCGGGCAGCCGGCTTGCTTGTCCTTGGCGGGCCGGGGTGACCCGCAGCTCCCAGCGGGGAGGAGGGGCCGGCGGAAAGCTCGCGGGGCGGCACCCCGGGTCCCGGCCCTCCGTCACCCCAGGTGACCGGCCCCGCCCCGCGCCGCCCCGCGCCCCCGGCTGCGCTTTCCTGCGGGCCACACCTGGAGCCGCGCCCCGGGCGGGGCGGAGGCGGGGCGGAGGGGCGGCCGAGGGCGGGGCGGAAGGAGCCGGGAGCCGGGCGAGGACCGGGGGCCAGGGCGGCGGAGCAGGGCGATGGCGCGGAGCCCCGGGAGCCGGTGCGCGCTGCTGCTGCTGCAGCTGTTGCTGGTAAGTGCGGCGCGGCCGGCCGAGCCCGGGTTGGGTCCCGGTGCCCCGAGCCCGGGTTGGGGTCCCGGTGCGGCGCGGTGGGAGAGCGCTAGGCCCGACCGGGGCCCTCAGGGTGGGTGGACCTGTCCTCGCTCCCTCCCCGCCTCTCTCTGATCGTCCCACTCAGGCCCCAGTGACCTTTCCTACTGTGATCAGTGGGTGCAGTGGGCCCTGGGGCGGGGACGGCCTTCCTGGGGGTCGGGGGCTTTGCTTGGAACCTCCTGGACTGGGGAACGTGGAGGCGGTGGGAGCCCCCTCCGCGCCGTCTTCCAGGTTCCCTTAAAGGTCTGCAATTTCCCAGGCTCCTCTGATCCGTCAGGGAACTGGAAATCAGGAAAGACCTGTGTTCTTAGAGTGCGGAACAACAGCTAAAACACTTCGTTTAGAAACAGATTTTACAAAGTTTAAAATGTCGTTACAGGTTCATTGCTTTGGCTACTCATCCGAACAGTTTTAACTTTCAAGTTAGCAATTTCCTGGTAGTCAAATAAACATATGTAATAGTTTCAGGACTTTTATAATTTAGAGGGTTATAGGAAATCGATGCCACCACTTTTCAGAAGTAACTCTTTTAAAGAAAAGAGCTTTCCACCCACTGGAGACAGTGTTCAGACCCAAGATCGAGATTTCTTTCTTATTTCTTTCTTACCTTTGGCGTCTATGATCAAGTTGGATTTGGAATGGTTGTTTGTGTGTTTGGTAAAGGAATTGCACATAATTTAGGAATGTCTGTGGCTTACAGGAATTTGCTAACTGGGTTTTGACCAGGTGACAGGCTGGTCATTGCAGAGACTTCACAAATAGATCTTGTCTTCCATAATGTTTAAATTTTAAAAGTCAAATATATCCACTCTACTAAAAGTTCTTGCTTTTGAAAAAATTAATAAAGAGTTGTGGTAGAGGAGAAAAAGAAAGATCCCAGAGTTGTAGAAAGAGAAACATAGATCCTGGAATTGTGACGGGGGATAGAGGAAATAAAAGATAGATTTTTTTAAGGCAAAATAACAACAACAACAACAAAATGCATGAGTAAATTCAGTCCAGCGATCCCAAGGGACTCACTTGTGACAGCATAGGGCCTAGATGTTCCAGCACCGACAGCGTCATTTTCTTACTCTATTTCATTTTGCTTTGCCCATGTTGTGACATCATTTTCAATACAGGTTCATTTTGTTCAGGAGATTTTCCAATGATGTAATGTGGGGCTTTGTTTTTGACCTGGGAGCAACATCATCCCCCTCATCTTGCTGGGTAAGAAGAATAAGCCAAGAGGAATACCAAGCCAACAGCCCTTGAATCACCTGGAAGGCTAGATATTAAATTCCTTATAAGAAAAGCAATTACAGAGCTGGAGAAACGGCTCAGTGGTTAAGAGAACTGGCTGCTCTTCCACAGGACCTAGGTTCAATTTCCAGCACCCACCTGGTGGCTAACAACCATCCATAACTCCAGTTACAGGGGATTTGACACCCTCTTCTGACTTCTGCTGGCTTTGCACAACATGGGTGCACTTACAGGCATGCAGGCAAAACACTTATACACATAAAATAAAAATAAATAAAGAAAAGAAATTACCTTTATTCTTCACATAGCATATTAAGCAAGCCAGTTCATACTCTCAAGAAGGAATAGGTAAATTTCAGCATGCTTTTCATTTTAGCATTTTATATATTTTTTACTTTATTGGACAATGTAGACTATTTCTTTAAAGGCAGCAGAATTTTTAGACTGCTCTGAGTATTTTTATAATACATTTGTGATATAAATTTGAAGGTTTTGTGTGTGTTCTATGAAGAACAGTTGGATTTCAGCGTTTTGTTCACAATGTGTATAAAGTTGGCAGAATGGTGCTCTAATAAAGAATGGAAAGCAAAGGTTGTTTATAGGAAAGACTAAATTGTAGTCTGCCTGCTCAGAGTTCAGTTGCATATAACAGAACCTACTCTAGCTAGTTCCAGCAAAAAGGGACTTAGGGCTGGAAAGATAGCCCGGTTGGTAAAATGCTTGCCCCGCAAGCATGAAGACCTGAGTTTGAATCTCATAATCCACATAAAGAAAAAGCCTAGTGAGGTGGTGCCCCGTTATAGTGCCAGGAGACAGAAGGTCCCTGGGGCTTGCTGGCCCACCAACCTAGGCTAGTCTGTGAGCTCCAGGTTCAGCAAGAGAAAACAAAAGTGGATGGCTCCTGAGGAACTGGCCATGAGGTTAACCTCTTGCCCCCACACCTGCACGAGTGCACACCCACATTCACATGCAGACATACCAAAAGGGATCTGTTTCAGGACATTGTGGTTTGACTCTATACATGGATACATGGAAAGAAGATTGGAAAAAATCTCTACACCAGTTGGAGGTGTTGCATTTCCAAATCACAGGGCAGAACCCAACCACTTAGGGAGCTGCTGCCTCACCTGTGTCCACAGCGTAGAGACCACTGTGACTGGAGTGCATGCGAAGATGCATGTCTGTGCCTTGCCTCTGGTGATCCACAAACCTGGAGACTAGACGCTAGAACCAAAATAGACTATCGCCAAAAACCAAGCTCAGCCACATCTGTGAGTCCCAGCGAAAGCAGCAAACACAGAGCCCTTCCTTCCTTCCTTCCTTCCTTCCTTCCTTCCTTCCTTCCTTCCTTCCTTCCTTCCTTCCTTGTCTCCTGTAGATACAGGTAGAAGTCCCTGTTCTAAAATGCTCCAAAATCCAAATCTTTCTGAACATGTTGGAGCTCAAAAAGTTGGATTGCAGAGCATTTCGGGTTCAATTTTTGGATTAAAGATGCTCCATCACTAAAGTCTATGCTTATACTATTTTTGAAAACTGAAATTGGAAACATTTCTTGTCCCAAACATTTCAGAAATTGGGTGCTCAGCTCAGATTGAACCCACACACTGAGTAGGAAGTCTTTGGCTTTCCCAGCAGCCTAGGGGGGTGCACCACAAAGTAACAGTTGAATGTCACCACACGCCTATCACACCGTGCTTAGATCAACTCTGTCAAAATGGCAGAAAGAGTTTTCTGAATAAAACTTAAGAATCTTTCCTCTTCAAGCATTCTTTATCCCTTCACCCTCAAAGTATCCACACACAGAATTCAGGAGGATTCTAGAAATTTGGGAAATTAATTGCACGGATATTTATATTCCTCTCTATCTGAAATTTCACATTTCTTTAAGTTGTGACCACATTAGCTGTGACTTTGTCACAGTCTGATTCACAAATTTCACCTATTATAGGTATTTCAAAATACCATTTATCCTAAATATCACTAATAGACTTTACTAGACTTTTAAATTAGTGTTTCAAGAGCAAAGTGTATGGTATTACTATATCATATCATTTTTAGTTTTTAAATTCTGAGACAATTTTAATATACTTGGATTCATCATACAATGATTATACTTCAATTTATTTAACTTTAAAGACGGTATTCTCAGGAAGAGAATAATCTGCTGTGGAAGACACTAGGAGGAAGATTTTCCTGATAGGATAGGGGCCTCAGTTTTGCCTTAGTTAATAAAGGTTGTCCTTTAAAAATCAAATTCCGTATTACAGATTCAAAGTCAGTCGGTGGTACTTATAAGCAGGTATATTTAATAGCATATTAGTTTGCCAGACCTATAACAAAGTACTAAAATTGGGTAGTTTAAAACAAGAAAAGGTTATCGTCTTCCAGTCCTAAAGGCTGAAACCAAGGTATCGTCAAGACTGTGTTCCCACTGTGCCTCCTGTTGGGTGGCTGGTCAGCTGTCTTTGACACTCTTCTATGAGATGCATCACATCAGTCCTCCATCTTCACTTGGCGCTCTGTTTTTTGTCCCTTCTTTCTATCTTACCCATTTGTATGTCTGTGTCTGTGTCCAAAATATTTAAGAACACATGTTAAGTGAATAGCACCCAACCTCATGAGCTCAGCTTGGTTAAGTCCTCACAGGCCCTTCTTTCCAAATAAAACCACCTTTTGACATCCTTACAGTTAAGATTTCAATAGGCCTTCTTTTTGGGAACACAATTTAATGCATAACAAGTGGGCTTCACTATCTACAAATTACCAGTAATTAGATAATTATGCTTAATATGCAATTACATTGCACAGATTTAAGAAGTACAAAGCCTATGGTAAATATTGAAGTCCATAAAATACTTATTTGTGAATTTTGGAAATGACGTGTTTGAGTTTCTGAAAATTAGTAGGTAATAGAAAAGTACCAGCTTTAACAGAAGTGTTCTTTAATTACAAATTTAAGTCAAAGTACTGTACCCCCCAAAATGAGACTTCTTCAGTCTCAAGCATTATGAGGGATGCTTGAGTAAACTTCAGTCTCTAAGACTTAGCTCCAGAAATATGTATTATAGAAGCTCCTAGTCAACCCAAATTATCGGACAAGTGTAAGAGTAAGAATTACTGGTCTAAATTTTTAAAAGTAGTTTATTCTTAAAGCATACCATTATCCATATGGGGTAAAATTGCCCATTAGAACCAGACATAGTGGTACACACCTGTAGTCGCAGCATTTGGGAGACTGATGCAAAAGGACCAGGCTGCATTATGAGCTTCAGATCAGCCTGGACTAACTACGCCCTGTCTCAAAAAGTCTGCTATGGGTTCATGCATTTTGTATTTTATTTAATTTTTTCACAGCAACCTAGAGGGTGTGGGGCGTCACACGAATTCCACAGCCCATAAGCCATGATGCACTTGTGCGAGTTGGAGGACAACTTGTGGGATCCAGTTCTCTCCATGTTGTGAGTTCCAGGGATCAAATTCTGATTTTTGTCAGGCTTAGGAACAAGCACCTCTGCTTACTGAGCCATCTTAACAGCCCCTGGATTGATTTTTTTTTCTTTTAGGACAGGGTCTCACCATGCAGCCCTGGCTAGCCTAGAACTAGTCAGGTAGACCAGACTGACCTCAAACTCAAAGAGATCTGCCTGCCTCTGCCTCCTAAGTGCTGAGATTAAAGG